ACTGATGTATTCTGATGATGACGAACAATACATGTCATTGAGAGTGGCACAGCATTCAGAAATTGGCTTGTGGTTTTTAAACTGGCACCGCCCACAGTGTGACACTATCTGCATTATTAATGGCCAAGTGGGTGCTCAGCTTCGGTTTGTCCGCACATTTTCATTTAGTGAGGTTAATACTACTTCCAATGTCTTAAAAGGAAAGACATTATTATTGCATTCATTCAAAAAGATTGTCTCTGCTTTTCCTTTTTTTTCATGACAACTCAGGCCTCCTACAGAATGATCACTGAGTCATGCCTAAATAGAAACCTGAAAACAATTAAATCAATTCCTTTAATGGTAGTAGCAAAAAAGCTTTCTTTGGTTCAGTTTAATACTGAAGTTTCATGTGAAAAAAACAAAACAACAACAACAAAAACAAATAGGAGATATGTAAATGTGTGTATTCATTTATATGGGTTCTGAGGGGATGTACAGTGGGTGGAGCTAGGGTTTCTGCAAGAGTTTGAAGACACAAGGGTGGCTCATGAAGTACCTGGTGTCTACTATATATATTAAAAAACAGGGTGGTAATGATTGAAAAGTCGATTTTGTGGTCATTACTCACCAGAAAGCTGAAATCTTGTTTGCACAACTTTTGAATCATGCACCAAATTGTGGCAATAAATGATATGGATCTATTGGGCTAAGAGGTTTGAAATATAAGTTTTTGACGTATGAGGGAATCGTGAAATATTTGGAAGTATATTATGATACAATAAAATAAATATAGCTTTGCGAGCAGAATGCACAGCATCGAGGACAAAATGTGCTTGCATGTGGTTTACTTGGCTATGTTGCAAAATAACACACCAGACAAGAATAAATTATATTAGATTCAGAACATGTTAAACAGCAAAAGTACAACTGAACCAGAATGAATCCAAAGTGTTGCCAGACTTGTTCACTGAAGCAAGCCTCCACACCTTAACCTGCTTCTAATCCTTTGGGCGTAGTTGCCTCTTAAAAGGAACAGATAAACATCCTCTGTTTATCCATGTATCTTATTTTATACTCAAAATAATAAACAGTTTTTAACACTGAACTCAGTAGCAACATTTGGGATTGTGGAAAAGTCACTAAAAAAGTGACAAGACTCATCATTAATCAACTTCATACACAGAGGTCCCAAATCCGCCCACCACTGTTCAACAGCAGACGTAATTTACTTTTGTGCCACGAGCTTCTGGATGATCCCTATGACATCACGGACAACGGAAACTAAAATGTTTTTTTGCAAATCTGAAACGGCTGTAAATAAACTCTTGATCTTTCCTGTAAGCGGAATGAGTGACTGACAATTGTGGCATCTCTGACCTTCATTCACACATGAGAATCAAACACGCAACGTGTTTACATTAGTTACAGGTGACTCACTAGACCAGAGCGTTATTCCCAGTGGCTCCCATCCAAGCCGTAACCAGGCCTCGTCCATCTGTCCTTATCCTGGTATAAATACGGTACTTGCTGGACTATTAGCGGATAACCTCTGTTTTGAGAGAAATATTGACCCATTATGGATAAAGCTAGCACAATTCTTCTTCCCTCTGGCAGAAGATATTGTTCGCTGATCTGCAAGACGTCACAATATCCTAACAGCTTCTTTCCACATGCTTGCACTTGTTATTTGATTATTTCATGTTATTTCCTCTACTTTTAAGTTTGTACTTGTTTTCTTTGTATACTTGTCTGGTGCACACTGGGGTACTTTTGCACATGTATTCCAATGTTGTTTTAGTGCAAATGGAAATTAAACTGAATCTGAAAGCACGCTGAGAACGCACACTTTAGCACGTTAGCATGCTTACCTTAGCTGTTAGCTTTCATGTAGGGACTCATTTACCAATATATTTTGACATTAAACGTAAGTAGTATAGCTACTAAATCCTGATGGAGTCCAAATAATAACTTTGCCCAACTCTACCACAGTAAAAGTACATCCATGGAGCACAACACTATACAGGCCGAAGGGGTCAAAGAACTTGAAAAAAGTCCTACAATTATGGTACCCACTATGAAATGTGCTTGAATGTTTATACTCAGGCAGACATATTTTTTGTGTTTGTTTTAGACGCATTCTGGGGATTATGTGTGATAACACAAACACAGAACTAAATATAAGGGGCAGCATTTCAGATTTATGCAGTTAAAAGTCTTCCTGAAAATGTGAGGCAGCCGCAGGCCTCTACCCTGATAATGTTCAAATCCAGGTTAAAAATAATTCTGTATAGCTGTGCATACAACTGAGGGATGTTATCTTTTGAATGTACACACCATAGACTGTAAATATTAACTCACATACTTATTGTGTACACACACACCTTATTATAATAGATCCATGACACACACACGGATCTACAGTATTTCTGCTCCTGTGGCATGTGCCCATGTCTAACCTGCACTTCCACCTTGTGGTCACAAACAGAACAGCATACTCGCATGTTACTTCATTCAGAACTCGTCACTAAACTGGAAATATATTGTTTTTACTACTTCACTGCTTACATGTTCAGGGTCTGATAATAAAGTGACACGATTAGATGAGGAGGTAACGTTTATTGACGCCGGCATGGGTGCTTCGAAGTACATTTTTGTGGGAAATGAAAAATGATAAAACCATAATAATAATAATCGTAATCCTTTCAATTTGAATGTCATCTATGTATTGTGTCCACACAGCCTCATGTTTAAGTGCAACAACAGCATGAAGGCATAACTTGCTTGGAAGAAACATGACACTGTTTAGAGACTAGAGGTAAATGTTATCATAGTTATCAGGCCTGCAAACACCAGCTGATTCAAGTCACTTTGAAAATAAAAACCATGCAACATTAGTCTCAAACAGACACAATAATCACTCATTTCACTTGGAAATAGAGCTTGGGATCGATCAGGCGTTCTCACTGATAATATTCAACTGTATTGCAAGTAGTATGATTGTTGTGTAATATTAATATCGTCAAGAATTTTTTTTTTTTTTAACAATGGCCAAGTGACTACAGTGGGGGCGTGGGCCAAAACTGTCAAAATATTAACTGTAACTGAATCAAATTATAAAAGTACTGGGGAACTACAATGATAATATATTTATATATTTGTTTATATCTCAATACATTTTATCTTGACTTAAGCCCCTTTTCGGGGAAATATACAGTATCTTAAAATCTCCATAGGTTTAACATGTATTCTGTGTGGTACAATTCCAAGCTCTATTGGGCGAAATGAGAAAAAAACAGTTCAAAATGTGTGCAGGGAACAAATAAAATGTATGCTATTGTATTATGGCAATGTTTTGATCAAAATACGGTTGTGTGACAAGTTGTTCTTTGTTTTGACAGGTAGCTTTGAAATGCGATTAAACAAAAAAACAAAGATTCTGTCCACATTTGAGAAGATGCCCTTCACACTCATGAACTTTCCATGCTTCCATTACTGCTGTCCCTCCTTTTGAAAAGTTGAATAAAGCTGTGTAACAGAAGTCGCGTCGCATCCATGTCTGTTTTGGAACGAGAGCCTGCTCTGCTCCCGACCGATACTGGTTAAGCTTCCCCATGTGATTTTGTAAACTGTCCCTATAGTGCATTAAATCATCTTTCCAAATCCCCAAATCCTCATGCACATGTCTGTAGATGACCTCATCCTCCAAACTGTCCCTCTGCTCTTCAGCTTTGGCAAACCCTTCATCGCTTTATAACGGAGACGCCACTGATGCGAAATCCATATTGGGATGGACTATCTGTCAACCATCTCCGAGCATTTAAGCCTCTAAATCAAAAGAATTTCCACGCTGCCACGCTGATAAGCCACAGCCCTTCAGAGTTTCGATTAGTCTAGATTTTGTGCTTACTGCTAAAGCGAAACAACAGCATTCATTCACGTCGCTTTGGTGTTCAGTTTGTTTTTTGTTATAAACATATTGACCACATTTAAGTGAATGCCATTCCCAGAGCAAGAACAAGGAAGAAAAAGACAGTCTCTGCAATTGTTATGTCTCCAGCTCATACAATAACACCAACAAGTTATGAGCGCCGTAGCCAGACATAATTTTGAAACATGTTCAAGAGTAAAGTCAGGGGTGGCGTGGTGAAAAGTAGTAGCAGAAATAGAGGTTGTATGATGCACTCTTTTGTGCCTCAGTCCATACAACTGCTAAGTAACACCAGGTGATTGTGCAAGTAACCTTTTAATGTGTGTATTGTCTATGTTTTGTTACAAGTAGACACACAAACAATAAGGCTGAATGATGGAGGGGCTTAGTAGTAGTAGTAGTAGTGCTAAAAAGACCATTCTGAACATTTCAAGAAAAAAAACTCTATGTGAAATGAATGCAGGACTGAAACGGAGTACCTCTTTTGTAGTCTACCAACTTTAAGTAATTAACTTAAAGCAGGCGTACCTTCAATCCAAACAAAAATATGATGTCTGACTAGAGTTCCTTGCTTTCAAAACAGTTTGTGCTATCACTAGTTTTCTGATGCATGCATATATTGTCTCTATCACACCTTTAGATCCGTTTTTTCAGAGAGAAAAGAGAAAAAGTAAGGACCACCCCTACTCAGCCAATCAGCTCAAAGAGATACAAAGTGACTCACAGAGAAAACAGCATGTTGTGGTCTGATTTGAAGGCATGTTAGACTTTTAAATGCCACCAAGAATCAAAAAATAGGACCTAAGCTGGTTTTGTAAGTTGTTCCAATAACTAATCATTATAGCGTTCAAGAAATCTGGCAGAAACCGCTTAAAAAAAATAACAATTTAGCCAAAGAGTATGATAAATATTGAATTCTACTCTAGGGATTTTCTCAAAATAAGTGTCAAATAAATGTGTCCACTCCTTCTGTGCTGTATCCATTTCATTGAACCAATAATTTCTGGAAACATAACATTTACACTTTACTTGCCTTCCGAGAGAACACACAGTAAGTACAGCATGCATTTGGGAGTTTGCGAGCTGCATTTCAATGACGCTGGGTTTTGGAGCGGTTGTGATGGCGGTGGTGTTTATGGCGTTGGCGCTCCGGATCCACTGAGGTAGGGGGCGCTATGTCCTCCAAGCCAGAGTTGGATGTGTGAGTCTCTGTGTGTTTTCTCCTCTTGGATGAGTGTGTTTTGGTTCTTTGTGGTGGAGAGCTGTGTGTTTTGGTTCTTTGTGGTGGAGAGCCGTGTGTTTTGGTTCTTTGTGGTGGAGAGTTGTGTGTCTTGGTTCGGTGCGGGGCTGAGGACCCTGGGGGAGCGGGTTGTATGTTGGCTGACTGCGGGGCAGGGTGAGGGAGCACGGTGAGGTGGTTGTCCGGGCAGGAGTGAGGCTTCCCCTGAGGGCAGGAGCTGGACAGCAGCGGGGAGCGGGCAGCAGACTCCAGGAGGCCCTTGGTCCCCTGTGCGCACTGGAGGAGATGCACATTGTCAACACAAAGCATTGGAGGTCAAAGATGTGCAGACGCTTGAAACACACTCACATGTAAACACACACGCACAAAGAAACCAGACACACATAACCACACGCACACACACACACACAAAGAAACCATACACACATGCCGGCACACACACACACGCACAAAGAAACCAGACACACATGCCTGCACACACACACGCACAAAGAAACCAGACACACGTGCCCGGACACACACACGCACAAAGAAACCAGACACACATGCCCGCACACACACGCACAAAGAAACTAGGCAGACATGCCCGCACATACGCACACATGTGGTCGCGCCCTTAAATGGCATTAAGGGATCATTAGCCACTGTGATAATCTACTTACATATAATACATTTGTCTATTCACTCAATTTGTGCAACAGTTATTATACTGGGTGGAATAGATTGCATGGAAATACCAGAGAAGACATTGATACATTCAGGTCATTTGTTCACATTTTGGATTTCATCCCTCATCCAAGGGGCTTTATCAATTTTGAAGACCCTTTTTGAAGAACTTGAAATAAAACGACTATTAAGTCCCGTTTCCACCAGCCCTACTTGGCCCTACTCTACTCTACTCTACTCTACTCTACTCTACTCTAATATACTCTACTCTACTCTCCTCTACACGGTTGTATTTCCATTACACTTTAAACGGTCTCATATTGTTGTAAACTGGCCCATTGCAACATAATGTCACTAGTCACTACACAGCGCCGCAAATGGCGAAGTGGCACGCTTTCTGCCACTCTGGTAACTTTTGTTTGTTACTTACGTGGCAATAAAAATGATTCTGATTCTGATTCTGATACTAGTGGTCCTTGTATTCAATACAAACAGTAATGAAGTGTCTTTTATAGTTTATAGTCCATGGACCATTTCTCCTGTCCAACCACATTACTCCGTGGATGATGAGTCTTTTTGTTGCCTTGGACTAACGTGTGGAAAGCAGTGACATGAAAACTGTCGCTGGCGGAATAAGTGGCAGACAACACTAACAAGCTCCTCTCACAAATTAGCAGTGCGGACACTTCCAGGCTCCGCGACATGATGCAGGAGCTAAGAATAAAGCCATGGGCCATAGCCAGAGGAGCAGCCAAGAGGACAGAGGAGACACACAGTCTGCACACTTCATCCCTCACTGGAAGCCCGCCTCACCACTCTCATGGCTTTTGTTTTTTCCTGCTCTAAATGTAGCTAATCAGCTTGTTGCAGACCGCAGCAAAGGGGACACACTTCTCCCCCTGGTGTCAGCGCAGGACACAGGCCCAGAGACAGACCACAGAAAGAGGTGCGAGTACTGACTGGCTGCACACACACACAATACGCCTGGGACGCAGCACTTCCAACCCCGACACGGCTCTAAGTCAAAGTCAACTTCAGTGGATACGAAAAGTGAGGTTGATGCAATAAACACATGTCAAAAATACAGTGGTATGAGAACCGACGACATGGAAAAGTATGTAAACAACAGGACCAGAGAGAAATACATTTAGAAACATTATCATGTGAAAGCCAAGTCCAGTCAGACCTCTGAAGCTGGGAGACCTCTGGGAACACAACACGGTGCCACACGGGGTGGATGTAAAGTGCCAAATTGTCCTTGCTTCACCCACATTGCCTAGATTGAGTTTGGTGTGTGTGTGAATGGTAGAGACTGGTTGCATAATTTCTGTCAGTGTGCCCCAGGGCAGTTGTAGCTACAGAAGTAGTTTATCACCACTGTGTGTTTAGTGAAAGAATGATGCTAAGTGTCTCTAAGTGTCCAAAATAGTAATGTATAAGACCAACGCATTGTTATTAATATCATTATTATAATCATTTTGTATTATTATTATTTTCTTTAAATCAAGAATGTTATTCAAATCTAAGGCCTTTTTCGGGTTTATTTATGATACCTTTGTTTCTTTTCATAATTTTGAACTAAGCTGAGCGAGTTTACTGATGGCTATTAAAATCTTTTGAGGGGTTTTCTGGCCTCTAAAATGTTTCATATTTCTCCTTGATTGAATTCAATGAATTAACACAACAGTAATAACAATAAAACAAATAAATAAGTTGTAATTTGGGCTGAAGAAATCCTTCATCAACAAGTCAATCCATTAGTCGCATTAAAAGGGGGCGTGGTCAATGCTCTTAAATGTATTTGATGCAGTAAAAAATGTACTTAAAATTTAAATCAAATAATTCTCTGACTGGGCGACACAGTGCCTGAGTGGTTAGTGCTTGTGCTTCTCAACAAGAAAGTCCAAGATTCAATTCCACCTCTAGACAGGGCCTTTCTGAGTGGAGTTTGCATGTTCTCCCTGTGTCTACGTAGGTTTCCTCCAGGTGCTCAGTTTTTCCCTACCGCTAAAAACATGTATGATAGCTCCCCTCTCTCTAGGGCAAGGACTCTCCTGAAAAAGACATTCGGAAAACTTCAAGGGGACTTTCCTGGTTAAATAAAAGTCAACAAATAAATAAAGAAACCAATGGTGCTGTAGGAAGGTGAGGAGCAGAGGCTGTTCCAGAGAGGGCAGGGCAGGCAGGGGTCAGACAGACGGACAGACAGACGGTCAGACAGACGGACATGCTTTCTTACCACATTTATTTCAGTCTTCGTGCTCACTACAGGCAGCTCCATGTCCTTCCCTCCTGTCTGCACACATTCGTCTTCTGGCAGAAAACCCCGTCTGTCAATTAAACTGGGACAACACAACATCCACATCAAGCAGTTGTTATATGAGGAAAATTCAATTCAATTTATTTTGAACGAACTGTTTTGAAAGCTAGTGACATGGATTATATTACATGGTGCTTATTTCAGTGGCTTGAGTCTGTTCCCTCTGGTTTTATTACAAAACAAAATACATTTATATACAATCTGTGCTATGGTTGGAGGCCTACCTGCATCGGTCCGCAAAGGTTTCTGTGACTGTATGAGTTTGTTATCATTATATTTTCTTTAAATCAAAAATATGATTTAAAGTATTTATGATACTTTGAGAGAGTATACAATATATTTTAGCCACACATGACGTATTAAAATTAACTTAAACAACATTATAGTGTCAGTTTTGTGGTGGCTATTCAAATATCTTGGTTTTTGAACGCCTTTTTTGTATTTTTCTTTGATTAGTCTCCATGAATGAAAGAAGCAATCTTACAACAACAGTGATGACAAGGATTATATCACATAGTACTTATTTCAGTGGTTTGAGTCTGGTAGCTCCGGGTTATATTGTAAACCATCACCAACATACATTTATATAAACATGGATGGATGGATCTGTGCGATGGATGGAGGCCTACCTGGGGGGCATCGGTCCACAAAGGATGGAGCAACAGTTTTTACAGACGTTTCTGTGACTGTACGGGTTCGTCACTGGTTCTCCTCCCGTCTTAGCCGACCACGAGCCTTTGATCTGGTGTAGAAGACATTACAGCGTTATTATCAAAAACACAATGTTAAAGTGTGTTTCTTTAGCACTCACGTCTTCATTGGTGGTTCGATTGGAAGCTACAAGGTACGTATGGAAGCCCGAGAGGCCCACAATGGACCATACTGAGAAGAAGCATACCACCAGCTCCACTGCAGTGAACAGAACGTCAAGGAAACGAGCAGTAAGATCAGTGATAAAGCAGGATTATTGTTATTATAGATTCATAAAAACGATTATAGATTATCATAAAGGATATCTGCCCGGACTCTCCTGCAGAGCAAACACAAGTCCTTTGCCGCCCTGAGCCCCTGGAAAACATTGTACGTTTATTCAAAGCTTTAATTTGTACACAAAACAACAAAAATATCCCTTTTCTAATTAGTATCTATCTATTCTGTTTATCTATTTGGTTTCACTGGTGTTATTGACCATTCTCTGTGTCATGACACTCAGTAACAGCACCTATAGTAACGCCACTGAATTTGGGTCTTGGTTTTAATCTCTATATTGTATGGAAGAATTGATTGAAAACCAGACAGTGAATATTGACGTAATCTTATCCAATTTCAGAAGTCAGCATAATAAAGGCGGTGTGGAAGCGGTTTGTGAATAACTAAAGTTGTATCATTTTGAGACTGACTGAAAAGAGCTGTACGCCGCCTCCACATAATCATAATCTCTGTCATATACATGAAATAAAAATTTACGCTACATGAAAGATCATTAGAAAAAAAATGATAAAACAGCTAATTATGTGTTATAAAACAGTCATGATACTGAATTCCAGAGGTTTTTACAATATATGTTGTTTACAGCCCTCAACAATAGATGCATGGATTATCTGTAAAATTGACAAAAAAACAGTGAGATTGCATGCAAGGGATTACCGATGTGTCAAAAGACTTCAAAATTAGCCGAACAGATAAATCGGTCATTCCTTAGTAGATTTGTCACAACATTTTAAATTCAATATTTATACTAGAAAAAATACTCAGAATCTTCAAGTTACAAAATCCAGTACCACAGAAGTTATTTATAAATGCTCAATGGAAAAATAGTTTTTATGGGGTACAAGGTTATTCTGATATAGATTGAAATGTATCAAGAAATAATCAAGAAATTTGAACGTGTGTCCTGTCAAATTAGTATCTAGTTTTGACACTAATGACAAAACTAATGACAAAAATGCGCCTATAACTCCAATCTCATCGGAATATGTAACACTCATTTCAATCTCTGGATTTAGCCACACTCAGCAACATAACAGGATCCTAAAATACATGAGGATAGGTGGGAAACGGACGTACTCAGAGCGAGATGTGTGGTCACGCAGCCAAAAATAAAGGCCGTGTGGAAGGACAGAAACACGATGAAGGAGTAGAAGAATCTGTAGTTGCGTTTTCCCACACAGTTCCCCACCCACGGACAGTGATGGTCGAAGCGCTCTGCAGACAAAAAGAAATGTACTTACTATTATTTATTTATTTAAAGATTTAACTCGCTAACCAGGAAAGGATATATAATGCATTGTCTAAATAGAAATGGGAGATTCCGGTGTTATCCCTGTATCTGTCTGGCTACCTGTCTGTTTGTCTCTCTGTGCCTAATATCTCTCTATTTATTTAACTAACTAACCAGGAAAGGACAATTACACCATTGTCTACATTTAAATGGGGGATTTTGTGGGGTTTTTTACACTGCTGATTTAACAGTTACCTATAGGCTACATAGAGTTTTTGGCTCAATTTTTGTTTATTTTTAATCCAATTTCATCCTTTGGGTTTTTAGTCTTAACAAAGACACATACACAATACATTAGACACGATATTATGCACCAAAATTATGTAAAATGTTGGATATGAAAATGCACAATTTAACTTTGTGAAGATAACGAAGGCATGTCCACAACGGTTCGCTCTTGAGAAAGGATTGTAGAGTGTTTGAAACGTGCTGTCCTGTCCCACTGACCTCTGCACAAATCTCACAATCGAAAAGAGTAGTGCTGATAATGGCAGAGCCTGAATAAGGTGAATAGTCAACAATAATGCCAACTGAAGCCAACTGAAGCCAACAAAATGTGTGCATTGAAATTGTGTATATATTCTACTATAAAAAGAAGTAAACATTTATTTCTAGATTTAAATTAAGACATTTTTTTTAAATCTAATCCCTTGATTCCAGAGCTTGTTGGAGTTATTGCGCTCACAATTATTCAATGCTTCAGCAAATGTAAATGTGCTTTATTGTGCCCGTAGGGGGATTAGTCCTCTGCATTTGACCCATCCTGATTCCAGTACGCTTCCATCAGGAGCAGTGGTCGCCGTAGAACAGCGCCCGGGAACTCATTGACCAAATTCAGTTTTTTTTTGTGTCGCAGCCTGGGGTTCCAGTTGAGAACGACTGGTATAATGTCTAAGATCCTAGTGTTTACAGTGCTGGTTCATGGCTGGTCAGTGCTGGTTCATGGCTGGTCAGTGCTGGTTCATGGCTGGTCAGTGCTGGTTCATGGCTGGTCAGTGCTGGTTCATGGCTGGTCAGTGCTGGTTCATGGCTGGTCAGTGCTGGTTCATGCCTGGTCAGTGCTGGTTCATTACTGGTCAGTGCTGGTCAGTGCTGGTCAGTGCTGGTCAGTGCTGGTCAGTACTGGTCAGTGCTGGTCAGTGCTGGTCAGTGCTGGTTCATGCAGCTGTGTAATGGTCTGGATGCAGACGCTCACCCACACAGTTGTCACACACTCTGCAGTGAGAGGTGCGAGGCGGACGGAACATCTTACACGTGGGACAGTACTTGAGTTTGACCAGCTGCCCGTTTATGACCACTTCCCTCGTGCGCGGAGGAGACTGGTGGCTGGTGCTTCCAGACTCATCTGAGGAAAGTCGTCAGAAACAAATTTACTAACAAAGAAAGAAATGTGTTTGCTTTATCATGAAAAATATCCAAAATATGGCCAAAAACAATCAAAATGAATGGCTGTGTGGGTACAGATTGAAGCACAACTATATATTATTAGCTATGCCCCGAAATTGTCTCCTTGTGGGCCAAAAACCATCCCAGAAACATATAGAGTGGAGCCTTGAAAAGTCTGTTGGTTAAAACAACTCCTCTTCTTCTCAGTCAAAATAAAAACATTTCAGTGCACAGACAGCAAGTTTACTTTCCATAAAACTGCTTGCGTTTCATTTCTGACATTTAATTATAAAGCCGTATTTTAAAAAAGGCAAGACGCAACACAAGATAGCTCATTAGGTTTGTTCTGTCAGTGCCTTCACAGCGTCCGATACAGCTGTCCTGACCATAAGAGTGGGTGTCTCTTATAATAAAATGTTTGAGAATGCAGCGTTTGACAGTGCTGTTGTTTGGTGGGCTGGATGTGGGCTGAGACTATTTTCATGCAGTGTCTCTCAGAATAAAAGGCTGGCTTGGCAGTTTAACGTTTGTTTGCAAAGTAACAGTTACGGAATGGCCACATCACATCTGCTGCCAACCAGGAAGTCAAACATTCAATCACATTTACCTTCTGTAAATATTTACAGATAACTAATCATAACCCTAACCCTAACCCATTACATTTAAAGGATTGTATTTTGATAACTCTGGGGTTCCTTTTATGTCAAATTCAATACTATATAGTAAAGTGTGAAATGTGTGTGTGTGCTTGTGTGTGTGTGTGTGTGTGTGTGTGTGTGTGTGTGTGTGTGTGTGTGTGTGTGTGTGTGTGTGTGTGTGTGTGTGTGTGTGTGTGTGTGTGTGTGTGTGTGTGTGTGTGTGTGTGTGTGTGTATGGGAGAGAGAGAGAGAGTGTGTGCTTATTATATGAATGTATGTAACGAGATAAAGTGAAGAATGGGGAAGTGGGTGGTTTTATTATAACTTGTATGGTAAATTAAATTGTAATTTCTGCTTGTTAAATGTATGGTCATGTATCCATCTACTTTTATTTTACTGTTTAACAACAACTTGCTCAGGAACTACAGGTGTAAATTAGCACCGCTGCTACAACCTGGTACAATGCATCTCTCCTCTTGGCTAATGTTTACTGTACACTGTCCTTGTAAAAAGAAAATTCATACCATGCTATACCATGAAATGACCACAACACAACTTGCAAGAAAGAGCCCTGTGAGGCACTTTTTGACACTTTGGGCTGAGAGCAGATTGGCTGAGAGAGGGTGGTCCTCCTTTTAGTCTGAAAAAGCCAATCTCAAATCGTGATAGAGGTCTAAAAATGCATACATGTGAAAACTAGATGCGAGCTGAGGCAGGAAGAGGCACGAAGTAGCTCAGGTTTTATGACATAGTTACTCTTATTTGTGGTTTAAAATGTAGGTACCCCAGCTTTAAGTATCAATACCTACCATAACCCATAAGTCCAGGAAATGTTCAGGAAATGAAAAAGTGACATATTGCTCTTAAAGTGGACTGTTTTCTGAGTAAGCCTCTAAAGTTTTACAACACCGGATATGAGTTTTACAACGGGTAAGCTCTACCAATTTGCTTCTCGATGTCCGCGGCTTCGTCAGGCGTGGCTCTGGGCATGATCCCTGGGTCGCTTAAGGTCGTCTGCAGCAGTGTGATGAGGACAAATACAAAAAGCACTCCTCCGATAAATGGTACGCACACGGTCAGATGCTGGACCAAGAAGGGGCAACTGGAAAACAGACAGGACAGAGAGCAACAGTGTGCAGAAAGAGAGTGAGAGATAATATAATTAACATGCACTGCTGTAATTGGGATTGATGTCCTTTGAGACTGAGCACACTTTGAAAACACTATTGCATCAATGCCTCTGGAAGAAGAACAGATTCTAAATGAGCCAGCTTTACAATTTATATGTATTTTACTCCCAGAGAATAATGTATAATAACGACCGTCGATTCGCCAACAGAGATCAGAGAATCAAATTGTATTATCTACAAATGTATTGGTTATTACTGCAGTATAGACATGTTTTTTTGTTTTTTAAGCTGATAATGTTATCGTAGTTGTTGTTTATTTACTGTATTATATAACTTAGACTGTGTTTTTCAACCAGTGTGCTGTGGGACTATAGTGTGCTTTGAAATGCTGTTTGGTGTGACTTTGGAATCGATCTAATATCAGATGATTGGTCAAAGTAATTTGAAAAGAAAATAATGAAAGAAAGGCTTTTTTACGCTTGATAGAAAACACTTTGATGAGAGTGACTTTGCTTTCTTTAATAGAGGCTGCAGTTTTAGTTTGTGTATCGGTGTCAGTTGGTGGTGTGCCATGTGATTGAATTCAGTGAAAAAGGAGTGCCAAAGCTCTACGAATTACTGTAATAAGAATTTGTTGCATATCCGCCGAGCTTTCGTAATCTAGCTGGAGTTATGTGAGTGACAGCACTATCTGTATATCTACTGTGTGTTTAGTAGATTTTTTGTGGTACTTTTTCTGAAACCACTGCTGCTCTCAGATTGCACCAGTGGAAATGAAAGGATGGTCAAATGCAAAGGACAAAGGGTAATGGATATTCAATAAGTAGCAATAATGTTAACAAATATATAAATTACAGCAAATGAACATGCAAATTAATGGAAGGAATGGGTAAGAACTATTAGATCCAAGTTCACTTTTTATAAATCCTTAAACTCTAACCAGACCATAAACAAACATCTGACAGTTTAATAATCTGTTGTATTCATCAAAGTTAAAATAATTACACACATGTTCTGAGGGACTAACATTTGAGTTTACCATATTTATTTAGAGGTAAACACAAATGTGTATTTACATTATTTACCACTTAGTAAACGTAGTGTTTTGTTGGCTCGAACTATACAAAAAAATAATTGTCAAGAGAACACGTTAGGGGTCCTGTAAAATAACTAAGTTAAGAGGAAGAGAAGAAACAAAGAGGAAAAACGTTTAATTTGAGTAAAACATATGGATCTTGAGTCTGGAATACATATGTAGTTATTTATTCAAATTAAACGTGTTTCTTTCTCTTCTTGCTATAATTGAAATAGGTCTTCGACTCTGATGATCGTCTAACGAAACACATACAACACATGAGCGATCAGAAATCAAAAATCCTTACTCAAACACAAAGAAAAGCCCGCTGGTGATCAGGATCAGCCCGAGGGTCAGGGGCATCACTCCACTCTTGCGGGCCACTATGACGCGACCATCGCAGTAGAAGCGGTTCTTCCCGGGGAACACCTGCCACTTCCTCCTCCTCCTCCTCTGCCTCTCCTCCTCGGCCCGGGCAGGAGCTGGAGGATGACTCGGGGCGGCCATGGAAAGGGTCTTCGGGTCTATTTGCTGATAATCGTGGTTCATGCCTTGTTTTCCGCGCACTTTGCTTCCTCAGTCCCGGCAGCATCAGCATCAGCATCAGCATCAGGGATTACGATGGGAGCAAATGTCGCTGTTCCGCTGAATAAACAAGCTAAACGCTGAACAGCAGTCATGTAAACACAGCGAGCATGCCATCATCCCACTTCCCGTAGTACAGCCTATATTTGCATCGCTGTCCTCTTTACGCTGATGGTTGATGGTTGATGGTTTAGTGCGCTCATGGTGCGTCTCTCGCTCTGGTTAGCTCGTTAGCTTTATCACATCATTCTAAACTTGTTATTTAAAGTCGTCCTAATTTGCTGCTATCAACCTGTCAAAAGCTGCTATTGGAAGTTTCTATTGTTAGAAGTAGAACCGTATCACAGTATCTGTCTGTGGTCAGCATCCACACGATCCAGAGGCAGAGGTGGACCGGAAATGCTCTCCCGCCGCCCTTTCACAATAAAGGGCGAAAGACGGTCAGACGGCACGGGGTATTTGATCAATTTCACTTATTTTGGTGGAACGGCGTCTGATTGAAATACAAATGATTGTTTTATACCTGAAAGGTCACAGTTTATAAAGTTTTACCTTTACCTTTATGTGCATACACACATTTTTACATAAATATTACAGAATAGAAAAATACATTTGTATTTATTAAATTGAGATTTAGTATGAATCTTTGTTCTTAAAGGCTATGTGTTGTGTTGATAAAGAGTCAAAAGAGTTCTCCGTGTACCTACCCTTCTTCCCCTCACCCTCAATCATGAGTTTCAGGTGATGACATAGACCTTACAGCTAGCCATTACCATAGACTGTATGTCATGACCGATAATGACAGTCAGTGTCCTGGTGAGATGTCTGTGCGCTTGATCGGGTGAAGAGCTCAGCCTGCAGTCCCAGAAGAAGCTCAGGGTTGTGCCGCTGCTCCTCCATGCCGTGTTTGGGCATGTACATGTTTCAGACAAATGTTTCAGTCATTTGATTAATTTACTTTATACATTTGTATCTACTTTCTCCAGAAAATATCTCACACAGTTTGTACAAAGATCATGCTAAATGTGCCTGGTCAAATGGGAAACAACATGGCAATTTTAGCCAATTTCAATTAGTTGAAACCCAATACATAATCTTCACTATTCAGTTGCAATATATTTCTCTCAGTTTCCTCTAGTCAGGCAACTGCATTAGTGAGAAATCTATATTGTATTACTTGTTGGCAGCAAAGGATAGTAAGTATCAATTGAGCCAGCCAGGCATTGCCTTCATGCAACCAGATTATTCCGAATTAAACCAAAGTGTTATTTCTGCGAAGGGAAACAGTTCCTCGGGATTATCTGATTGAACTGATTATATGTTTTAGAACTATTTGTTTTGTGAAACAAAAGAGGAGGGGTCTTGTAGTTTGACTTCCACCGAAAACATCCTTTCGCCCAATAATATTACTACTTTATACGTAATGTTATTTATCAAAAGTGTGGCTTTTATTGTGACACGCGTCCACGCGCGCCTCAGCGGAAGTGGCCGTCACTACCTGGTGCTCTCTGCACCTTGACGCTCAGGTAGCGCAGATTTAGGTGTAACTTTGGTCAAAGTGTGGTTTCATACGGAGACTTGTCACAAAGGCAGAGATGGACTAAAATAAACCTGCGTCAGCCAGAAGAGCAGCGCGTCTGCGGCCTGGGACAGCGTCTAGGGGTGAGTCATGTGTGGTCAGTAATTTACTTAAGTCCTCTAATGGAGGAAGAGTAGCAATGACATGTCGCCATGAAAGGGAAACGGATCAAGTCTAAAATGCGCAATATTTGTCAGATAAAGTAAGATAACGCCCTGAACGTGGGTCGACTATAAGTGATATGTATCCAAAGAGCCTGTAGGTGTCTTCTCTTTGGCCTGCTGGTCTTTGATCAACAAGGCAGTGGAAGTACAAGTAGCTCCCTGTAAACAGACGTGCCACTATGACGTAACTGTAAGAACTGCACATTTTGGGAATCGTTTATAAAAGTGCCCCTGCTCTGTCACACATTCACTTTCTACTTAGAAACTTGTTGTTTGTGTATAACAGGCTTTGTGTGTGCAATCCCCCTGCTCTGGTCGGAGCGGAGTGGTGGAACCAGCTGGGCTGCTTTTCATGCCTCCTGCAGATAGAGTGTGATGGCGTGTGTTTACCAGAGAGGTGCCCTCAGGTCGCAACAAGACAAGTCTGCTTTTGTTAACGATTAACACTCAACTTTTATATCATACAGAGTGAGGCCATGTTTTAGGCCATGGTCAAATAGCCTACATTTGATCAGAATCTTGCAAAACTGGTGTATCTTTTATTTGGCCTTTTTAAAACGTACAGAAAACCAAAGTATGAATACTAAATGTCTGTTGCTATTCTTTTTATTGTACTTACTTTAGCTATATATATACAAAATGATCCATTCAATCATGAGTGACTATCAGGCAAACTTTAAAATGTTACTAACGTGTATTAATTAGTTAATTTAATTAATACAAGTATGATATATTATTTACATTAAGTATATTGAATTGTAACCTACTATGGTATACTTAATTTCAGCAGAAATTTCACAAAACTAAAAAGTGAGTAAATACTTTTTACAGCACTTTTGTCCTTTTTTCTATTGTGAACCAGATAACATCACATGACATGCTTACATGAGTTGAAATTAGTAGTAGTCCTAAACACAGACCAGGGTTACACAAAGCTTTGTAAAGCGTTGGTGCTTCTTGGTGAAAATAAGTATCATAATAAAATATAATATATTATATTTAAAATGTTCAATGTTTTTTTACAGATATTTGTTATTGCCGTTTTTTCTGCAGCTTGTTTCAGTTTCAATTAAATTACATTTATTTTTGTATAGCCCTATATCACAACACCTCAAAACGAAGTAGGTTAAATCACAACAGCAGTCGTCTTGGAGGACTTTGCAAAGTTGTCGACTTGCCAATAACAGATCAGAGAATCAAACGGTTGGAATACAGGAAAAGTAGTAATAAAAAAAACATTGGAGCCATTGGTCCAAAAGACGTGGATGACCAATGTCCAAAAATGTTCATAAATGTTCATAAATCTGCCAGATCACCGCTGTCCTTAGATCCTCCTGCATTGGCAAGGAACAGAAATGGCAAAAGAGCAAATGGATTGAAATGAGAAAACATGTTACTGTATAAATTGTTATGATACTAATAATGGTTATGTTGTGACCAGAGCCATGTCGGTGGGCAGTTCTGGGAGCCCTGTGAGGTACTCTGGGTCAAGCATCTCCAGACATGGCTTCAGCCGCAGCAGCAGCCAGCGGTCATCCTACGAGGAGCGCTGCGTGGACCCAGTGGAGACTTTACCTTACACCCAACAGCCGCAGTCCGCACACAAGTCCAACCCCAGAGACGCCAACGGGAACAAGTGCGAGACCATCGGCTTCATCCCTGGCTCCGCTGACCCCGCTTCCCCGAGCTGCAACCCCTGCGCCTCCCCCAAACGTTGCCGCAGTGTTGTGTGCACAGTCCTCACCTGTGGGCTCTACCGCTTCTGCCAGAACTCCACCCTCGCTCCCTGCCTGGCCCCGAACGAGAGCTCCCCAGACGAGCCCGAGAAGGTCAGTCTGAGAAACGCCAAGGGCAAAGTCGGCGCAGAGGAGGATGGAAAGGACTGGCTGAACGACGTGCACATTGGCGGAGTCCGAGTGGAGGAGTCCATCGAGTATTCGAACGAGCCGAGGTTTTCAGCGTCGCGTTTGTCCTCGACCGGAGCCATCACGAGCTTCAGCCACTCCTCTCTGCATCAGTCCCTGGTGCTGGACGACTGGGAGCAGGAGGATGTGGAGGATGTGGACTCTCTCATCACCAAGAAGCTGCTGGAGCTGTACTCGGAGTATCAGATCGAGGAGCTGGCTCGCTGTACCACGGACTCTGTGTTTTTGAGGAAGACCAAAGACATCCACCAGCTCATCAACTCCCTGGCCGAGGAGCACCGCATGGACGAGCAGGAGGCCGAGTGCCGTCTGGTGAGGGGGATCATCCGCATCAGCACCCGCAAGAGCAAGAAGAAGCCCCATGTCTCCAAGAGGGAGCGCACTCTATCGGACAGCGGCCACGAGACCATGAAGGAGAGCGGGTCCACCTCGTTCAGCAACAACAGTATGTGCCATTTTGACTGCATTATTATCTTTAGCCTCATTCCCAAACAGGAATTTCAACCACTTGGCATTTAACCCGCCTTGTGAACTAGACTTTTTGCAGAGGCATCTTTAGTTTAGATAAAACAACTGAATATAGCGGTAATTTAAACAGCTAAAACAACTGTAAAAGCCCCTGTGGACTAGTGTTGAAAATTAGCACCTGTGCTATAACAATGCAATGCATCTGGTTTGTCCAATGTTATTGTTATGTCCATATTAAATAAATAAATAAATAAAAATAAAAAGCCAAAAATGAGTCAGTTGAACCACAAGCTCTTACCATCAGCGTTTGGGTTGTTTCTTCATAAACTTGCTGTTGTACATTAAAATGCTGATGATTACTTTTTATCTGTACACGTTCTTGTCTTCCTCGTGGGGAAAAGCTGACACAGGTCTAAAAACTCAACAAACTTTTCCACTGTTGTCAACACATGTGTATTAAAACACAGGATTACAATGGGGAAAAAGCCTTTTGACTTGGATCTTTTAATACGCTCTCAAGTTTTAAGGTTTTTTTTTGTACTACCAGTCTAATTTCATCTGACAACAAATCGTCGTTGCAATAAAACAGGGCAGACTTGAATGCAGGGGAATATAAATGACTCAAACATGGATGAATCACTCTTAACAAACGGTTGAGTGTGTGATTAAGAAGGGAAAACAATTCCGGGTTATTTTTGCTACAGAATATCCCCCATGTAATCTTATTGATATATGATTTACACACATAATGTTATTTATCTTTGTGGAACTGTTTCATCATGTTTTATGCTATTGTGTTTTGGATTTGCAGTGTACATTTCTTTTTCTTTCAGATGACTACAAATCCAACCCCAACATTCAAATATCTGATCTCACTTCGTCTGATAAGTGTGCCAGACAGATTTGGAGGAACAATGGTGGTGAGAGATACATATTTGTCTTCTTCTTCATAGCTGTGGCTTTTCCGATTAGCAGTTAGTGTCGCAGTATTGTGGATTTGGACTGGTAATACTATTTTGTTTATGTCGGATGATTTTCCTTATATTTGCATTTGTAGTTTACATGTTCGTGTAAGAGCATGTCAGTTTGAAAGTGAATGTGTTCAATTTAACATTCACTTTAATATTCTTTTTAAAAGCCTTTATCATTGTAGTAACTGGTCACTTTAAACTATAACTAATGAAATGATTTGGCAATGCAGTATGCTTGGCAATTGAGATGCCAATTGTGTGAAGGCATGAAACAAAGTTTTTCACATTTTTCAAATGTGGACATAAACTATAATGGTTTGACTGAAAGTTAGGTGGGACTGTCGTTGGGATTTGACACGTTACTTGGTCAGACAATGCAGTAAAGGAACACACGAAAGTTTGTGAAACATGTTGTAACCAGTGGGGGCGGGTCCCGGCTCGAAAGTGGCCAAAATGATGTGCGCTGACATGCTTGCAATACCACCCTGGGCCGATGGGGGTGTCCCGAGAAGAAGAATTAGCCAATGCTAACATATAGCATTGGCAGACCTCTCAAAAATGTCTTTACAGGATGGTCCAAAAGTTGGCTTTTGGCCCAAAGCTCCGTTCCACATGTGTGTCAATGCTGAAGGGGGTGAATTTTTTTGGTCCACTCTAGTTTACTTGCTGTGAATTTTTGAAGTCTCTCGTTCCAATGAATGGAGCTTGCGCCGGCTGACGCATGTGCAGATGCGTTTTTTCACAATTTTCTTGTGGGCAGGACTCTCTCGCGGCCATTTTGGATAGCTCCAGTAGAGCACTATTTTTGGCCCATTAGTTAGAACGGCAGAGATAGGCGTGACTACGTTCGTTAATTTTTACAGTCTATTGTTGTAACAAATATTCAGTTCCAGCTCATGTCCATTTCAACTGAAGAACTCAACTTACTCTACATCTGTTTTGTGTCAGACGAAAACATGCTGTCTTGTCTTATTAGGAAACATTTTATCTATTAAATACTGAGAGCTGATTGGCTGAGTGAGGGTGGACCTTACATATATGTGATACTTGTGTTCAAGTCAATGTAAAAAAAGTACAGAAGTATTTTACAGAAGTTACAGACTGGCATGACAAAAAGATTCTGCAATTCTCAAACTTTCCACTTTATGTCTAATGGGTGTGTCCAAATTTGTTGGCATCATCCCACGTAGGGATCATTTGTAGGCATTGAGGGAAGGTACCTTCAGAGCCGCGTAGGCATCAGGCGAGGTAGGCAGAAACTAAAAGTGAATTTGGACAGCACTTGCTTTCGTTGCCTTCATCACCAGGCAACTCAATACTCTCTGCTGGAAATCACCAACCGGAGCAGGGGTTTAGACATTAAACTGTTTTATAGCTGGTGCTTACAAGTGGGTCAAGTGAAGTAGGTTATAAACGTACACATAAGTCACACAAGGGACAATACTCGCATAATGACAGCATAACAAGCCGTGTTTGAGAAGTGAACCTCTTTCCTTTATTACGTTGTTTATATATTGGATAACGTCTATGTTACTTAAAGTTGATTATTCCATTCTGATCATAGCTGATCAAGGCATTGACTTCAGAACATTTATTCTGACATTTTTCACTTTTTATTTGGACAGTGCTGATCTTCCCACAGTGAAAACACTTGTGTCCCAGGTCGACGTGCTATTTAGTCCTGTGCTGAAACACAGGGTCTGCAGTGTGATAATAAGTCATGTTTTATAGTATTATGCATTTACACTGACTCAGATATACATCATTCAACGTGTTTTATCCAAAACATACTGTGTTTATCCAAACTGTCTTGTGAAAGGTATGTTACTGCTCTCTGCTGTTTATTCTACTGTTTGTCGCATGGCGCCGTGGCAAGAGCTCTGGTGTGTGCCGTCCTCTGCCGTGCACACTGGGGTAGTCTTGCACAGTTTTTCCAATGTGCTTTTACTGCAAATGGCAAATAAATGAATCTGAATCTGTGCTGATGCAAACAGAGTTATCTCGTTAGTAAAACCTTGTTCTAATCCAGACCAATTTTCCATTTATTTTTTCTCCTATGTTTAAAAATGTTCAAGAGGTCGTTTGAAAATGCATTAAAGCCATTAATTCTAACTAATGCACAATACCTGCACTTTTCAGAAAATCTTCGTAGATTTCTTACTATTTCTATTTCTTAATAATTCTTGCTAACACTATTTGTGAACACTTATACGTTAAAGTAGTTTTTTCACCTATAGCACCTTATTACCTTATATACACTACTCTGGTCTTGACCTTAATTTTTTATTTTTTTTATTTCCACTTTTATTTTCTTTACGGTACATTTTGGTTTTCTTTAAATGGGCATATCTGTATACAAATGTTGAGGTGAATTATGAAAATTAGCCGGTAATAAATAATGGAAATATTCTGTATAATCATGAAGAAAACTGTATCTGTGATATTCTTGTTTTTTCCAAATAAATGTAAATAGAAAAATGAAAATAAGAGAATAATGCTTCTGTGAACAATTGAGAATACTCTTCTTCCCTATTTTTTGCCCCATTTTTATTAACTAGCAACTTGCTAATGGCGACCACAACAAAAAATTGCGGTTATTCATGCAGCCCTAACCCACATTCCCATCTATACTCAACCCATCTATAATGCAAAGGTGTCAGTTCTAATAATTGCGTTGTTCATTTGTTTATTTGTCTGTCACCACAGGTCAGCCATCGGTGTCTTCAACCTCTTACTCTCCGTCCTCTTCCAGTCCCTCCTCGGGCGTCCCTCTCATACGCTCTGCCGTGAGGACGTGAGGTCACCACGGTTACAGAATACTCACGGAACATTGCGGATGGAAGAACTCAGGGCCTATTACTCGTGTGTAGAAGTTTATGTTGGGTGCAACTGCATGGATTTGAAGGATTGAATGTGTTGCTTCTTAATATGACAATCCTCGCCTTTTTTACTGAAGGAACCAAAAATGGCATTTTATCGGATGTTGCTGGTTTTGTTATTGATAAATCATTGTATATTGTGTTTTAATTGTGTGTTGTAATTACACTGATTTACTTGCAAACCGTCTTTGAAGGTAGTGCATGAAGATATCTGCAGTCTTTTTAAACTGCTGAAATGAATACAAAAAATCACTACTAAAAATAGTTCTATAAGCCTATATGTTCACTGTTATGTAAATTATTTTATCATGAACATCTTGCGAGAGACATTAGACTGGTTGTCTATAGTCTGAAGCCACTGACTGACTTGTGCGTGTGCCCTAAACGTTTGGCATGATTCTTTTTGTGCTAAAAAATCAGTAGATTCTTTAGTTCCAGGAAAAATAAAGATTATAGAGAAATATGATGAAAAAGAAAAGGGTATGTATATAAATCAAATACTAATAGTATAGAGTGTGGCTAGACTTTGTTACCTATTTTAGAGGTGAAGTGAGTTTCTTTTGTGTGAGAATTTGTCCAGCTGACACATAGTCTCATCTAAACATATTTTTCACTCAACTTGTGTTATCATCATTTCCTGACAAACTGTTCAACTTTAAGCCCTTGCATACTTTCCTTACTTAACGATTGTGTCAGATGCTCCTGACATGGTTTTAATAAACCATAAAAAACTGGTCTGTCTGGTTGGAGTATTTATTTTGCCACTATTAGCCACGTCCTGTCAACAACGTGTGAGATAATGATGGATGAAATATGACGCAGTATAATAGGGTATAGTAGTTCTTCAAAGCTCTTCACAATAATTAAATCCACTATGATATAATATAACTATACTCTGAGGTAAATTTCATGTTTGACAATTCATAAATATGAAATCATTAAATTACTCCAAAGTAAGTGCCATCTGCAGGAGCCTGATGTGCATAAAACTTGAATTTGTCACGAAAACGTATTCTTTCCCCTTAAACCCAGATTATAATTGTGATTGAAGTACAGAACTGAAAGTACCGGTACTTGTCGCCACTAGAGAGCGGTAGAGTTGATACCTTCGCTTTTTTGTAAAACTGTTTGATGTGCAGAGCTGCCTTTTGTAAGTAAATGTTTTAAAATCATAATGCGTTTGTTTTATAAACACTCAAAGACGTATGACATGTCATTATTCATTCACTCGTTCACGATGGTGACAGGATTATTGTAGCCAGCTGCCCTGGGGCCGATTGACAGAAGCGAGGCAATCAGTACATGCCATCGGCCCCTCCGATCACCACCAACCATTCACTCACACTCCATAATTATTCATGGCAATGTTGGTGATTTGCCTTGCACAGCCGCCCCACTTTGTGTCCCCAGAGAGCTCCCTTTATTACAGTACCAGTGTTGGTTATCCCTCCATGTTGTGTAGTTTATTCACTGGTCTTCATCATTTATATATCATCTGATCTTTAGTCTATTAAAATTTGCTTGAAACGTGTTTGATACCAAGAGTATCAAGCATTAGTATGGAGGTCTCTGTGACACACTGATTTGATAATATAATAAAACACTTCTTCAGTTCTTAGGAAAGGGGGGGGAGAAAAGTGACGTTGTGGTGGGCGGGGCGTATTCCCGGAAGTGAGTAACGTGATATTGCCGACACCATAAACTGCTATTTTTCTACCTCAGTCATCTTTACTCCCCGCTAGCGGCATATTAATTCATCATATTCAGAAGTATGGGTGATGATGAAGAAAAGTATGACGGCATGTTGCTTGTCATGGCCCAGCAGCACGAGGGAGGAGTGCACGAGGTAATGTTAACTGTGATGCTAGCATGCTAAAGCCTTGTGGCTATCTCTCCTGCTTATGATGAAGCATTAATATGTATATATCCAATAATAATGTATACACGAAATATGTAGAATAGCCAAGTTATACAGCAAAGTCATCATTTATATAGATTCCAGACAGTTTAACTAATTAGACGATGTTGATTCATTAGAAAGTTCTAGAAAGATCATTTGGAAGACAATAAATCCCTTTCAAACAAATCAATCCAATTCAATTATGAAGCACAATTCATACAATGTAACCCATCGCTTCACAAGCAATTAACTAAAAACGGACAACAAAACATAAAACAGCGCAAATACAAAAACCTATTGGAACATTGTATTAAAAATTAAGTAAAAAAGATCAAAGTTAAAACAATTTAAAGATAAATGCTTCAAATTAGTGTTATGCATAGGTAAAGAAGACTGCCTAAATTTGCATTGAATTTTAAAGGATTTGCATTGCAACTCTGGCTTTATTTTCAAACAGCTTGTGAGCACATTTTTCAGCTTTCTCAGACGTAAAACTGATTTCTTCACTGGTGGTGAAGAAGGAGCACCAGAGAAAGTGAGTACTCTTTCATTGACACAAGCCACGGTCTGTTCAATGTGATTAATAATGTATTTTTCATTGTATTATTATTGTAGCTGGTCAAGGATGTATTTGATCGACATAGTAAGTTAGCATTAAAAGCTCATAAAGAAAAGCTGAAGAAACAGGAAATTGAAAAGAAGGAGAAGGCTGAGAGAGCTGCAAAAATGAAAGCTGAGGAGGAGATGAGAAAAAAGAAAAATGATGGTCCCAAAATTCAAGAACTGACTGATGAAGAGGCGGAGAGGCTTCAGTCTGAACTGGATAAGGTAATAGTAACAGCACGTTTTGTGGCCTTGTTTAAAGCAGGTTGTAATCTGTGCTTTGTTGCTTTTGTTTTTGTTTTAGAAGAAGAAACAGGAGGAGAAGGGGAAAGCAGATGAAGAAAAATCCTCTGAAAAAGCTGAGAAAGAGAAAGAGAAAGGGGTGTGTATATCTATTCTGTTGTTTTGGATGTACATTTTTTAGATGTAAATGTTGTATTGTATTAGGGACAACACAACATTACCACTTTTATTTTTCCTTAAGTTATGACATGCTTATGAAGGAGTTGGGTGAATGTGGAGGCTTTTTCTATCCGGAAACTGGTATTTGTGTACTGTAGCCTAACCTTTAGTTGAGTTGTTTGTTCTGAATATCTTGCATACATGCCTTTTGTTTAAAAATAATTTTCCAGATACATGGAGTACTGATGGTTAAAGAAATCTTTTAATTGACCTCCTTCACTATTTCAGAATGAGTATCATTGGGATAAGTGGTCAAATTTCTTCCTCAAAAGTCAGAAAATGTCTTCAAACCTTATGCTTTAAAAACAAAATACAATGTACAGTCATTAAAGCTCGTATTACTTTGAGAAATGAGTGAATCTCCACAGACATTTATATTGTTGTGTTTTGCTTTGTTTTTTTTATCTGTACAAACAGTCTGACTCAGATGCCGAAGAGGATGAGAAAGATAAAGATAAACTGAAACCTAATTCAGGAAATGGAGCAGACCTTCCCAACTACAAATGGACCCAGTCTCTCTCAGAACTGGACGTATGTGCATATGGCAAACACACCCTATGAAAATGATTCTACCTTTTTTTTTAATTCTACAACTATCTCTTGTAGATATCTATTCCATTTGATGTGAAGTTTCGCGTCAAGGGCCGTGACGTGGTTGTGGACATCCAGCGGCGCAGTCTTAAAGTGGGGCTCAAAGGACACCCGCCTATCATCGACGGGGAACTGGCCCATGAGGTGAAGGTGGAAGAAAGCTCCTGGCTCCTGGATGATGGGAAAACCGTTTGTGTGCATTTGGAAAAGGTACATGTCACAGTTAATGGGACAATCTGTTCAGTTACACTTCACAGATGTTGTTAATGTGTTGATGTCTGCCTGTTGATTTCAGATCAACACAATGGAATGGTGGAGCAAAGTGGTTACTACAGACCCAGAAATAAACACAAAGAAAGTCTGTCCTGAAAATTCTAAGGTACTGGTGCATAAGCTCAAGACACACACTGATTTATTTAATTCTTTAATTATGGATTGGCCCATGGATTAATCATGTCTTTTACGAGAAGGTTCTTATTATCCATTTGCTCTTTTAACGTTGGTGGCAGTCTTCAGGTGAAAAGATAGCAAAAGCCATTCACAATGCACTCAAAAAGAGCAAGAGACTCCTTGAGATCCACTTTATTCACGGCACAATGTCAGGTCTTCATCTACTATCATACATGACAGTCTTTCTAACTGTACCTGTTACGTAGATTACAGAACAGTGTGTGTCCTGATAAGTGACAACAGAAAAAGTGTCTGCCTATTTATAATATGGTTGTGTGAGGCGCTATGCAGTGGCGTTGTACGGTACCTCAACACTAAACTTAACTGGCTGTTACATTCTGCCTAACGGTTACAAAACAAAAGTTAGACATTGCCACAGACGAGACCATTTGCACATCCAGGACGTACAAACTAAATGCCAAAGACCATGGTCAAGTACTTAATTTTTAATGTTGTATAAGATATTTGTGTATTTCTCTGTAGTTTTCATCATAGTCACATTGATTACTTCTGAAAATAATGTTATGCTTGGTATATTTTGTCATTTATATCCTTAACTGGTTTGTGCTCAGTTGTCCGACCTGGATGGAGAAACGCGTGGCATGGTAGAGAAAATGATGTATGACCAACGACAAAAGTCAATGGGGCTGCCAACTTCTGAGGAGCAAAAGAAACAGGACATTCTTAAAAAGTGAGTAGGACATGATCGTCGAAAGTCGTATTATTTATTTATTTAAAAATGTCCCAATAATTACGTTCTATATTTTCTTGCCTCGTCTTATGTGCAGATTTATGTCGCAGCACCCAGAGATGGATTTCTCAAAAGCAAAATTCAGTTGAGGTTCAGTGTACTGCTGCGTTGACGTCAAAGATTCAAATCAATGTTCAGGATAACCTTTTTCATACAAACAATTGTCTCTGAGTGTAGTTCAACCTTTCGCTGTGATGAAGTGCTTATGTGCATGTTTGTTAAAAATTACAACAAAGTAGACATAATTGTTTTTTGGGTTTTTTTTTAAATAAAAAATATAACGTAAATACTTTGTTTTTTTCTGATTTTATGGGTATTCCTTGAAAGCACGGGTTCACAAATGTCAGTGAATGACCCCAAAATATCAAATGGTTTTACATAAGGACTTGCACTAGGGGTCACTCTTTCCTTTGAGTAAATGCCCCAGATTTTTATAACAGCCACCGTATAATGTCTATAAAATACACATTAGTCTATGAAACACACACATACATAGAGGAAATACAACCTTTCATTAGTCTGGTAGTTCATTATTATTAGCCCAAAGTGAAAGAAAAACTTAAATATCAACACGTCAGATGAACGTTGATGACAATCGTCAAGTTTCTCCCTATGGGTGAAGGGGCTGTTTCTCACTGAGACCACAGTGATATCATGGACCTCTGCTAAATGCTCCGTCGTTGGAGAGCAGTTTGCTAACAAGCCTTTTGGGGCTGGTGTGAGTGTCCACATCAGACTGGACTGTGCTGTCAGGATGGTGAGAGGCTGTCTGCATCATTGAGGACAGCGGGCCGACATGCATTAGCTTCTGCAGACGACTGAGAGCTGCTAATGTGTGAAATGGCTCATGTCGTTCAAAACGCTGTCCCCCCCGTCTCATTTGGGAATGGTGTGAATTTTACACATATATTTTCTCTTCAAAGGCCTGCTGTGATTGGATATGTATTTGATATTATTTATTAAATGATATAAATAAGCAATTTTTATTCACATATCAGATTTTACAGACCAAAGTCGCCCAAAGCCTTGTACAATGTTCAGAATTCAGATATTTTTCCATTCTCTCCACACGGTGATGGCTGAAGCGAGACGCCGGACACACTAGTGAATCAAAGCCCCCAATCAACACCATCCATTCACTCACTCATTACATTCATACCTATTGTACATGTTTTTAGTGGAAGGGGAAACTGGAGCACCTGGAGGAAACCCGAGCAAACACATGCAAACTACACACATAAAAGGCCTGGGGGTGGAATCAAACCCAGGACCTTCTTTCTATGATATATATGCTGGTATGAAAGTGAGTTGGAGAATACTATTTATAAAAGTAGTCTAAAACAATAATTTGTCCAAGGCATGTCAGGTTGCTAAATAGTAGATGTTTGACTTTTCATCTTCATTGACTTTTCATCTTCATCAGACCAGTATATATAATTAATTTTCATACCTTCACAGAATAAAGTAATGGTCCTTGATCCCAGTTTAATGAAAAGGCTTGGCCTGTAGTTCTCTTTTAATAATAGTTAAATGTTTCATTTTTAAACTCGAAAAACATTGGTTTTCTTAAACTGACTACAAAATATGGTCAGCAATCAACACATGCACTTTTTCACTTTTGTTTTTATTTGAAAGCACTTTTGTTGATGCTTTTACAACAATTATGTCCACTAACTACCAGGAGAAACCAGTCATAGTGGATATAATTTTCAGCTTACCAACGTCTAAAAAGCGCCATGTCTCGTGGCGATGTTCTTTGTTTACCAACTTTGATTTAAGAAAAGAAAAGTGCTGTTGTGGATGTGTTTGCAGATGGGTGGGGTGATGCTGACTGATGCTGAGGGCATGTGGAAGGCACAGTCTGCTCAGCTGACCGCTATGTCTCACCCAGGTACCAGAATGTCTTCATTAACAGAGGCGCACACATCAGAGGCCCCCAGCCCAGGACACAGAATTGGACCCCTTGTGTTTTTGGCACAAGATCCTCTAATAAATCAGACGGGAAGGATTGCACAATGTTCGACTCCAAATGGCAAATGGTTTAGGTAAAAATTGTCCTTGGACATTTGAGAAACAAGCCTTATGAGATATTTGAATAGTTCAAATTTGCTTTATCCACTTATCTACCACTTCTCTCTCTTTCTTGCTATCTTTTTTTTAAGATAGCACAACTTTATACCTCTCCTGCATATCAAACTTTTTGATTATCTTCTTCTTTCTGCTCATCATTTTAAGATAAGAGGGCTGTTCATATCCCACGGTGGGGAAATTGCATATATTGGGAGTTTTTGTTGTTCCTTGCCGATGCAGGAGGGTCTAAGGACAGCAATTATTTATTTATTTATCAACATTTATGGACAGTGGTCATCCCGCTCCCCATGGACCATGTGTGTTATTATTGCATTCATAGTGTTTGAACTGTTGATCCATTAACTGTTTTGATTTAAGGCTATACAAAAAGACATTGAATTTAATTGAATGATGTAACTACGGCTGTTTATACCCCAAAATTCTGTCACAGCTTGTTTTCATCATAGTCCCATTGTACATGTTTTGAGTTTGAGGCGAACCTGGAGTACATGGGGAGAACACGCAAACTCTCCTCAAAATAAATAATGATCATAATTAGATAATGTGATTATTACCCCAAAAAAATGCTAAACTAAATATAAACTGAAATTGAGGCAACATGCATGATAGAAAAGTGTATGTTATTTTAGCTGCTGTGCTGTGATAGGGTGTTTCTGAAGTAGCAGTTTTGTAACTTACTCAATTTTTAATATATTTTAGTTTCCCTCACATGTACTGCCGACCCAATCAAACCTGTGCGTATGTTTGACAGTGGCCCGTCCTCCACACCTGGGTGCCGGGCACACTTAACGCACACACTTCCAGGGAGGAGGAGAGGCCCAAGAGTAAAGCACAAATCCAAACTATCAATTAGCCAGTGCCAACACAGACTGCAGGTTTGGGTGGACTCAGCACATCAGCCGTCACTGAGGACAAAGCATGACGTTTAGATAACACAGATGAGTCCAGTCTCTTATATTGTGGACTGTGCAAAGACTATCTGCAAACATCCTGGAGAAGTTTAAAGGGTCCCCTTCAACAAGCACACACAGATGGGGGACGCAGGCTCAACCACTTTCAACTTCAGATGGATGTCCGTCTTTATTAGGCTATTTAGTTTTATATTTCTTACTTTGTTCAATGTGTGAGGTTCACAACAATTCAATACAGTTTGAAGTGGCTTGCTAATTAAAACATTTAGCAGATAAACTATTCGGAACTATTGAAGCACATAGCTTACCGGCAATATGGAAGACAATCTCTGCTTTGTATTAAGTATTACTTTATGACTATCTAAGTTTTTACTCTAAATGGCTATATAGGTCGTGTAGAGTGTGCTCATAGCCGTGCTCAAGTGTCACCGAGATCTGACTTTTTTACACTGAAACCACAGAGAGAGTAAAGTGTCACAATGAAAACACGACTAAGTCATTTGACTGTTTCGTTCATACTCAATGGTGTCAGGACATATTATTTTGACAACGCAGACAGTTTAATTGATATGAAGACTTGCTTTTGAGGAATTAACTTTTCATTTTGAGATGGTGATGCACTTTTGCAGGTTATCCACGAGGTTTTTCAGTTTGCACTACTTTGCAAATGCACAAACTGTTGTGCAAATGTGAAGAATGATGTGAAAAATGCACCAAAGCGACTGAGAAAAACTTTATTCAAGTCAATATATATATTGTATATAATATTAGGAAATACTGTACATTAGTGTAGTAGTTAGTTGAATCTGAGTGCTACAGTACAGGAGACTACAGTACAGGAGGCTACAGCAGAGGAGGCTACAGTACAGGAGGCTACAGTACAGGAGGCTACAGTGCAGGAGACTACAGTACAGGAGGCTACAGTACAGGAGGCTACAGCAGAGGAGACTACATTACAGGAGGCTACAGTAGAGGAGGAGACTACAGTACAGGAGGCTACAGTACAGGAGGCTACAGTAGAGGAGACTACAGTACAGGAGGCTACAGTACAGGAGGCTACAGCAGAGGAGACTACATTACAGGAGGCTACAGTAGAGGAGACTACAGTACAGGAGGCTACAGTACAGGAGGCTACAGTACAGGAGGCTACAGTACAGGAGGCTACAGCAGAGGAGACTACATTACAGGAGGCTACAGCAGAGGAGGCTACAGTAGAGGAGACTACAGTACAGGAGGCTACAGTAGAGGAGACTACAGTACAGGAGGCTACAGCAGAGGAGACTACATTACAGGAGGCTACAGCAGAGGAGGCTACAGCAGAGGAGACTACAGTACAGGAGGCTACAGTACAGGAGGCTACAGCAGAGGAGGCTACAGTAGAGGAGACTACAGTACAGGAGGCTACAGCAGAGGAGACTACAGTACAGGAGGCTACAGTACAGGAGGCTACAGCAGAGGAGACTACAGTACAGGAGGCTACAGTACAGGAGGCTACAGTACAGGAGGCTACAGCAGAGGAGGCTGGTTTCGGGCCCTGGCAGCTGTGGGTCACATTGCTGCTTCATTACTGTTTGCCCGTGGCCCTGTGACCCCTCTGCCTTCATTTACACCTGGGTGAGGAGCACTCCATCACTGCCCTGGACCCTGGACTGGACCTCCAGCCTCTGACAAGCACACAGGCACATCACACCACTGACGTCAGCAAACCAGAACCCAATCATCTACTCCAGCGACGCATGTGAGGAACACTGACTGAATTGATAGATAGATAGATAGATAGATAGATAGATAGATAGATGATGGATTCAGTTGTCCAGCAGCAGCAAACTCATACAGGTCTGTTGTACAGTCAGGAACAAAGGATCTCTTAAAATGTTCCAATCTGCAGCGCAGTGATATAAGCCTGTCGCTACAATCACCCTCTGAGCGGCCATAGTGTCATGCAGAGCGTGTCTGGAGTTACCCAGGACGCCCTCATCCTTTCTTTATTTAGGAATTAAGGCTTTGAATAGAAACATACATTGGTTTTCTTTCTGACATTTAAGTATCTTTTCAACAAATATAGTCAAATAGTCTTCTTTGTTTCAGAAATATCAAATAGGTCTAAAAATATGTACTTTATGATTTTTATACATTTTTAAAAAGTATGACAATCTTCCTATCTGCACATATGGGTTAGCTTGCATCTCCAGTTGGCGTGGAAATAGCATGGCATAAATGTTCCAACTTTTTCCATATCATCATGACGGATGTATCACCTCCAGAAAGTGGCATTATTGGTGACAGAGGAATTAAAATGTTCAAAGGAAGATAAGCCAGATGTTTTCATCAGGGTTGTTTGTTTCTTTATAGTTTAAAACTCAAAATGTTATGGCTAACATTTCACTAAATCCCACGACTTTTAGGGTTTACGAGCATGCATTCCATTTTAGAGGTTATCCAGACTATTGTCTGGATTAAACTTTTTAAGGAATGGATCTGCATCCCCTGTGTAGAGGTCAGCAACTACTCTGTGGGTGTTTTTCCATGTTTACTTTATTGGCAGAACACCAATCCAAAAACAATACTTATATTCAAAATATCAGGAAGATTAATAATAGACCAAATGATTGGTTTTCAGAGGCATGACATTCGTTTTTATTTCTTTGTTTACCTGATCATAGTATAGGCCACCAGTAAGTCAGCTGATTATTATAGATGTATGGCAATAAAGAGAAGTAAATAGGAAATAATTGACTTTATATAAACTACTAACAACATAATATTTATAATAAAAGTAAACGGCCAAATTAATTCAATAATACACTACTCCAATCCCTAAAATCTGAAATAGTTTTTTGTCAAATGTAAAGCTCGCAAGGCCTTGAAATTTTCTTTTGGAATTGAATCCCTCACATCCATGAAAATGATGAAGGATTCTACAGAAACTACATCTGTTAATGTTAAAGAATTGAGATTTAAAAAACAAAAAACAAAGTTCAGAAACAAAACAATTTAATTTATTATTAAATGACATAAATAACATAGATATATATATACATGTGTTGTGCAATGTTGTCCCGTCAGCTCTGCCAGGATCCGGAAGGCACTTCAGTAGTATTTTGTAAGGCATTTAGACTGTATAAGACATTTACATAATAAAAGAATTAAGTTACTCTATTTACACACATATACATAAAATGTTAGAAAGGAGAAATGCTCACAGTGTGTTCAAACAAGCAAATGTGTAACAGGTATTGTACATTAAGAGCAAAGCAGAACAAAATAGTTGGAATGGAATTTATGCTTGCCAATGTGCAAGGCGGCACTGTTAAAATAAAGTAACATAGGGTCCTGCACAGACGTCCTTCTATTATAATCCTCATGGTTTTCAGTCTCTGTGCTGGGGCCTTCAATAACTCTGAGCCACAGGCGCCCAGGATGCTGCCAGTCTGGCGATGGAGCTTTCAAACTGAGCTTCCCCCACTCCCACCTCGGCCAGGCTGGGGTCATACATGGACGAAGGAGAGGAGACGGGCAGCGACGAACTCAGGCTGGTGTACGAGGAGCCCCTCAGGAACTGGGAGGTGAGGCCGCCTGGTATAGATCCTGATGCAGAGCCAGAGGAGGTGAGGGTGGTGCCAGCCACAGACCACAAGCTGGGATACTGACTGTGGGAAAAGAGAGGGACGTGTTGACACATGTACTTTCAGCATAAAATGAATATACTAAATCTAGAGGCAGGGCTTACCTTGAGTTAGCTGTGGAGTTGGTGGTGTGGGACAGAGTACCCATGCCTGATGAGTTGGGAATTTGAAGAGCAGACCAGCTGTCATGAGCAGGCAGACTTCCTGAGGTATTGTCCATGTAATTGTCTTTAACATCACACACAAAGAAAATTAAAACCATGACTTTGTAGCAGCAAGGGGTATTGTAAAAGACTTACTTGTGCTTGGTGTGCGGTGGGAATAGTGGCTGGGGTATGGGGCAGCTCTATGGTTCCTCAGAGTGGTGTAACGTTCACAGTAGGAGCCTGAGGAGTGTCCTGCTGAGCTGCTGAACTGAGGCGGGCTGCTACTGGGGCAGATCGGAGCCTGACCAGGCAAGAACCAGCCACCGACTGTGGGGGCCAAGACACAAACAAGTTACACATAAACAATCATTAATAAGTAACTAAGATAAAACCTTTGTAATTATATGAAGAAGAAAAAACACTCACGCTGTGAATAACCAGTCTGCTGGTTGTCATTGCTGTGATCAGAAACATCTTTGTGATCGCTTCTTTCCTTTGCATCGAGGAAAGCTTTGGCAAAAGGGTTGTGCTTGATCTTAAGAGCAGTGATCTAAAAGTCCAAATAAATTAGCGTTACAAAAAAATATTCAATAGAAATTTCTCAAATACACAATTTAAAATTCTTAACACATTACCTCTTCATTTTGATAAGCCGTGACAGCAATAAATTGTGTCTCTGGGAAGGACTGGCTGCTGATCATCTTCTGAATACCTCCAACTTTCACAATGTGAATTCTGGGCTCATATTTGTGTAGAGAATTTAGCATAATCTGAGGAAAGAAAATCAACCAAGTAAGAATTGTTATTCACAAAAGACCTATGTTTAATTCTGCAAAGTATTTAATTTGTATTATTTCCATTTATATGTTATGTCTTTGGCTATGAGAATTAGGTGGCAGCTCTAATTACCACCCCCTGGCCCAGAAATGGACAAAGAGGATGAATACGAATGAATACGAATGAACACATATTTTTGTCATGATTTACGTTACACGTTACTGTTCTGGCGTCTGTACCTGTCCACCCCCGTTGAGTTTGTTGGACAGCTTGACCTTGCTGAACGACACGGGCGCTTTCATCCAGTGCGCTCCGAAGTTGGGGGAGTCCGGGTGGATGTAGACGCAGCTCGGGCTCTGGGGCTCCGGCTTGCCCCCCGGGACCCACTCCCCGTTCACGTACTTCCAGCGGTTGTTGTCCGCGGCCACGAAGTCCAGCAGCACCGAGTACATGGCGTTAGGGTCCAGGCCTGAGACATTGGCTCTGAGCACCGGGAACATCCTCCTGAAACACACGGTACGTGTTTAAACTTGTTAATTATATCTATATTTAAATCTATATTTAAATACACATGAAATGCACGTGTTCGCTTCGGTTATCCCGACAGAGCACTTAAACTGGCACGTTTTGAATTAGCACGGGTTTATTTGTTTGCATCAGCCCACGAGAATAACTTCACTTTTGGTACTGTATTAACTTAAATATTCACATTCTTCTTCTTCCATTGTTTTTAAATTGTTTTTTAGGGTAAAGAACAGGTTGGGGTAAGGCTTGGGGACATAATAAAAAAGGAAGGGTTAGGCCACCTTTCTCCCGGAAGAAATATCAAGATTTGCTAGAATCCCCATAGGCCTACGACAAATTAATAGAAATGTATTTACCTTCCTGTTTTGGTGACTATCATCTCGTTGGTTAACTCTTTAAACTTGGACCACAGATCGCTGTCCTCCAAGCCCAGCTTGATGTCCCGCTCGGAAGCGTCCCCCTTCTCACTGCCCTTCTGCAGCTCGCTCTCCACGGCGCTGAGCAGGTGCTCCAGGCGCTGGTCGGGGTTGGAAGAAGTCATGGTTATTTCCGAGAAGATTCAAATAAGTTTCCCACACGGAGAGAGCGAAGGCCCGACTTATTCTGGCCCGAGGAGCCGAGGCCTCCACATTTAAGGGCCTCCGGGACCGCATGGGGATCAGGGCGGAGTTTATGACACACACCTCCAGGACTGCTCCAGGCTCATCCTCATGCATCTCATCTTCAGAAAATGGCTCATGTGGAGGTTGGTTTATCAGCTTCTGTAATTTCTTATAGTAAACTATAGCAGGCTGATATTAAAGGTGATGTTCTCTGTGCAATCTAATAATACATCATCCTGAATTCCCCTGTGGTTAGAACTATAATCTAACACATTGAGTTTATTGAACTGATTAGTGAACTATCTTCTACATTCTTACAAAATCCCAAAACTTAATATAACAACCACACTAAAGATGTGTTGTGTATTGGTGTTTACATTATGTCAATGTGAGTGTGACTCTGATTTCTTACACATTCAAAGCCATGTGTTGTAACAAAGAAAGGGAAGCAGGGAAGAGGACTCCTGTCTTTGAACTCAGTTGTATATTTGCAAATAGAGCTAATCTTTTTGTTGTCTCAAATCCACATGGGCCCGGCTTGTGTTTACCGAGTGCCAGCCGTTAGCGGAGACTGCGACCCTGTTGTGCCCAGGGTTTGAGGCCTGGGTTTGCCTGATGGGCCAGCTCGATGCCTTTGGGGGCAGTTAAAACTCTATAACTTGGACACGGTTACGACACACTCTGGAACATCTCTGTATGTGTTTCTATTCTTGAAAGAATTGTATCAGTAGTGAGATACAAGTATAAACATCTGTAGTCATTAAGGCAGTCTGCTGGATGGGACCCTCCAATACACTTCTGGGCTTTCATGCTTTGATCTCAGCTGGCTAAATTAACATTAACATTTCCATTTATCTGACTTTTAGATTTTAATTTCACAACTCTGGCAGTTTGTACACTGTTTGCCTTTTTATCTTTCTGTAAAAACAAAACAAAACACCC